CGAGCCCCGTCCTTTCCCCGCCTTTCCTCTCCTCCCGTGCCCCCCTTCCAGATTGGCCCCCAGCTCCGTGCACGTGCACGTCGAGACGCTGGCGGAAGCGGCTCATCTGTGACCCCTCCCCTCAGTCCGCCGCTGCCCATTCCGCTACTACTGCAGCACCTCGCCCCTCTCAGCCTCAACAGTCCTCCACATACCGTCGTGGCCCTCGTAGAGACTCTGGACGATCTTTCTCTCGTCACTTGCATGCGCTGCTTCGTGACCTGTCGAGCATTGATGATGGCACTGCCTCAGATGATTCTGCTAGTGACCCAGATCAGGGAACCGACCCTCAGTCCCCCACGGAGGATGACGCCTCTCCCCATGACGACCGTCTTGTCCGGGCCCTTTCCGCCCTCCTCCGACGTTAGCCCTCTTCCTCCAGGACTCGCTCAACGGTCACTCAACTACCCCTCCCAGACGCAGCGGTGTACATCTAGACCAGTCCACTTGAGGCCACAGACTTTAGGGTTGGAGCGTTAGTTCGGCGTCACGCTGCTAGAGCAGTGCCCTCTTGCGGACAACTGCGAAAGAGCAGCGCTGGAGGAGTAGACTAGTACTTCTCTCCCCTCAACACCTTCGTACCCCTCCCCACCTTCTCTCCTGTCTCCACCTGCATAGCCTTGCATCCGGTCGGCTATCGGTAATGACTAGTCCTTCCTTACACGGTGGTCGACAGGTGCGTCATTCTCATTTGTACAACCTTGTAATTGTACGTCAAAAGACTGCGCACCTGCCGACCCAGGTAAGCTTCTAAGGAAAGTGGGCCCATTTACCCTCAAGTACCAGGTCTGGCGGTGACCTTTCTTCTGTGTATGAGTCCCCTTCTTCCTGTGTGGCATGTGTGATGATAATCGTGTGCCTGTCTGGATCTGATGTGCCAGGTCATATCTTTGAGTCTAGAGGTGCACTAAATACCATTACATCGTTGTCAAGATCTTTCATTTGAGGCCACGCAAGTGGCTCTGGTCTATTCCTCGCAGGGAGAAGGAGTCGACAACCAAAGGCTGAAAAAAGATCGACCGGACGTCTTCAACGCCCATACGGAATATAAGTCGGTCAGAGGAGGGAACAGTGACGCCAAGCGCACCACGGAAGGTGAAAAGATTGCGTCAGAAGAGTGAGAATGGCGATGACATCATTGGCTACCCACACATAGTTAAAATCACGCAAGACAGGGAAAAAATAAGCCAAAGGAGAGAAAAAAGAGGGAGACGTGTGGAAAAGAAAACCACAAGAGCAACTGACAGAGGTTCAGCGAGGAACAAATTTGCAATACATCAGAACAACAATGTGAGAGAGGGGAAAACGAAAAAATACGACAATCACTTCGGTCGAGAAGAACACGATGAATTTCCTGAGTCAAAGCAGTTGGAGGAAAGTACGGATAAAAAAAAAGTTTATTTAGAAGATACACATTCAAAGTCGAAATCACAAGCAAGTTCGGCGGACGGTCGAGAATATGACAATGAAGAAGACAAGTCTGCAGGAGATGGAAAGCAAGACTGCGAAAAAGAAATGGATGATGCAAATGAGCAAGATAGTGACAACAGTCACAAAACGACGAACGTTCGCACAGATAAACCAGGTAAATATCTTTGCTTCGAAGGCATGAGCAGCGTCGAAATTGATGTATTTCCTTTGAATCTCAATTCCGCCGGCAAAGTAATACGCTGTAAAATAAAAAGTATATTCTTCGTCCTTTCATATTCTCATCAAGATTTTGTAATTCTGTTGTTTACTATTCCTTTATATATTTCTGTCAATGCAGGAAAAGAGGAGAGCAAAAAACCGACACATATTTCGAAGACTAGCACAAAGAGGACGAACAATGTTGCAGAAGAGCTACAGCTCACAGAGATGACCAAAAAAATAAAGGAGAGGATGTTCCGGTCAATTGCAAAGCCATACATGTATATGTCTGCTCGAGACTCCACATTCTACCCGAAGGAGGAACAGTTTTTCAAGTCATTAACAATAATGACAGAACATATAAGACAATGGGCATCCGTAGGGTTAAAAAGGTATGTGGAGGAGCGCGGCATGCGGCAGGTCTTCGTGGAATGTAACAGGATCATGACAACCATTAGAGGGGAGATATCATGGAACTTAAAATACGAGTTTTGGGCCGAGAAGGGATACCCTCTGGTGAGTTCAAAACAAACCGACAAACAACAAAAAAAAGGACAACAATTGAGAGAGGAAATGATCAAGGACAAGACATGGAGCCGGAAGGGAAACGAGTCATGGGGTGATCCGGCGTTCGAACTCTGTTTGGCGAGGGTGTTCTTTCACACGAGGAAAGGCCAAGGGACTGGTGTGTCATTGCAACAACTTGCATTTGCAGAGATGGTAATAAAAAATGAGGTATCTCAATGCGCGAAGAAAACTCGAGCGGACGAAAAATTCTCGGAGTTGATAGAGATTAAAAGAGAAATTATTGCATCCGTCGAGGCACGAGACACATGTGTGAACTTCAACATCTTCAGCCTTGATCGGTCAACGACTGTGGCTGATAAAACACTTATCTTGTTCTAAGCAGGTTGCCGACCGAACAGCACGGTGACGTTCGTGCCACATTGTTCACTAATGAAGACTACACGTTTCAACACAAGGCTACTTCATCAGCAGTGCAGGAGAGCATATAAAGACGAAAAACAACACATGATTCAATATGC